GTAAATAGTTTGTGACAACTGGTATCTGTGTAAACGGATTTGATGGTCCCCTGGGGGGGTCAATACTGTTTACAGAGCTGTTTCTTCAGAGTGGTTGAGCTAGAATTGTCTCTAGGGACCCTACCAGGGTTACTCAGAATAGCAACATGCCAGCTACCTGAGAGCTCAGGGTAGAAAAAAGAAAGGGCAATAGAAAAAGGCAAGTACATTCAAATAAATGGATCTCTTGCACCTTCAGGTGCAGGTGCTACTTAGGGGCATTGAGAGCTAAAACGAACCATAAAGGAGGCAGTTTGTTAATGTGCTCCCTAATGCTTGCTCACACAATTGTCACCACTTCATTAAACTTTTTTTTTGGAGGGGAGGGATGATTACTTAAACCAATGGCATGTGATTTTGTAAATATAAAACGAACAAAAATCTTGTGTTTATAGCTTCTTTCTTTTGTATATTGTCTATTATTACATTATATAAGAACATCAAAATGATAGGACACACTTTTTGCTACTAAATAAGACTGTAAATTTGATGTGATGGTGTAATTACTACAGTAGTCCCATATTGTAAACAAAAGATATTGTCTTTTTTCAACAGTTAAGGATTTCTCTAAGTGAGTATTAGTTTCAACATAATCAGAACAGCAGTATCAGTTAGTAGCCCCAAATAACTTCTACCAGTTCATTCTGGAAGTTAAATGTAGGTTATCTATATGTGTGTACAAATACTATTTATTTCCTTTACTAAATAATGCTGTTTCCTTATATGGGGGAGGGTTAATTTCCCACATAGATGCATATGTGGGCTTCCCCATCCTTTGCCAAACATAAAAGAAAAAGACATAGAAACTTGCGCCATATCTCAGGGGTCTCATCTGAGTGTACAAGAGAAAAATTTAGACCTTCCAAGTAGAACATTGGTGTATTTAGATCTTCCAAGCAAAGCCACAGTGCATGAGCTAAAGATAAACAGCAGGGTTTGAATTCGGGCTCCACCACATGGCTATATGACCTTTAGCAAATTACTTAACCTCATTAATTTCCCTATCAATAGAAGTACATAATAATAGCACCTATCTCAAAAGGTTGTTATGAGGATTAAATTATTTAAATTATATAATCTCTTGGAAAAGTTTCAGCACAGAGTACACTCTCAATAAATGTTAGCTATATTATCTGCAAAAACCTGCTTGGCTAAAAGCAAAAGTTTTTTTTTAAGCAAAGGTTTTTAAATTAAGATATAAAAAGAATAAATAATAAAATTAAAATATTCTTATTAAAATATCCAAAGACATGGACATAAAAATAAATACAATGGCTCATATAATGACAAACATAAAGAGATAACACTTAGGTAAAACTTGTAGTTAACATATAATGGTTTAATTAAAGCACATTACAGATTATAAAACTATTAAGTTACAGAAGTAATAGGACTTCGAAATTTAGAAATCCTGACACTAGGAAAAGATCCTGAAAGAAAATTCATCACACAGAAAGAAAATTTAATAGTATTATTTCTGAGATTTAATCCCATAGCAAGAAAATAAGAAATTTAAATAGTATATTTCTGTAACATAATTTGAGCATTTACTACAATGGCACAAAATTAGATATAATCAAGGACTATAGCTAGTAGATCACAGGCACTTATCCTTCAGAGATTCTAATTTAGGAATCACAAGAAATTAGGTAAGTTTTGGATCTCTGGCTTAAAAAATGGAAACCTGTCACTTGGATATGGTATACTCTCTCAGGTTTTAATATATTTTGGCTTGAAGAGAAATAAGAAGAAAACAGAAAGAACTATAACTTTTATTTTCATTGGTCTACATACACCATCACCTGAATTTCAAGTACTCACAGCCAAACATAGCCAGTGGCTACCATGTTGCAAAGCACAGATACAAAGTCTTACATAGTTCTAATATAAAGTGTAATATATATAATGAGAAGAAGTTTAAAATATATGGGGATGGGGCAGAGGCAGGATATAGCTATCAGATATTGAAGTAGGATTTTATAGAGGTTTATGAAGTTGGAAAATCATAAAAACCACATAATTTATTCATTTGCACGTGAAGGTTCAATATTCAAAATAAACTACATCTTTTACATTCTTATACATGGTTGCATATTTAGATAAACATATCAAAAAGGAGTGGTGAGGTTATTTCACCTTTGATTAAGACAACTGAAGATTTAGGGTTATCATATTTCAAATTATCCACTGGTTAGCCATGAAACTTATTTTACTGGATTTTTGTCATTTGTTTTATTATGAAAAAGCTATTTAAAGTGGTGGTACTAAACCAAATTTTAAAAAGTGTTTGTTTCATCAAGTTTGAATAGTCAGGAGCACATCAACATTCATTCTATTAGGGAAGAGAACAGATTTCTGTGTAAGAACTGAATTCCATCATAATGTTTCAGATTCTAGATTTTAATATCCTTTGCTGTATAAAGACCATGAACACAGTATAATAGTATAATCTCCTAAAGCTTAGGCTACCTAATTAACTTATGAACATAACACATAAATTAAAGCTCTGTGAAACTTGTATCATCCTATTTAAACCATTACAAATAATATCTAGGTTGACATAATTGTGAAAACTGTCCTCAAATTTTATTAACTAACATGAGTGGTCTTTATTTCTTTTCTGCCTCAGTGATATGAATTATTTGGCTACCTACTATACATTTCTAACCTTTTCAGCCTTTCTCAATTTGTGTGATAAGAATAATTTATATAAAGTAATTAAAATAAGAATAATGAACTTGGTAAGTCTTAAATTTCTACAATTGCAAGTAAAACAAGTTTCATAATTATCTATTTTTTGTTTGTTAAGTGCAAACACATACTGACTGCCCATGAATTCAACAATTTCATAAATCACTTATGGATGCTAACTTTCCCAGTAACATTTGTTATTGGAGAAAAAAGAGAAAAAAGACAGAATTTCATCTGTGCTTTTCATTTTATTTACGGGCATTTTTAGATTTGAAAAACAAAATAGAAGAATCACCAGTCAGACACTAAGTGGAAATCACTGAAACACAATGTTAGTTCTAATGGATGGATGACTGTGTTTGGTCTTTTGAAACTTTGAAGTATAGGTAAGTCTTGATCACACAAATTAATAAATCCTAAAGCTGGAGTTAACAATAACCATTACACCCAAATTCTGCAGCTTAGCCCAGCCAATTTTTCAAAAGGTCAGGTTGTGAACTGGAGAAGATCAGGGAGGTCCACCGCATAGCTTTGTTGCCAGGCATCTCTCGTCTGGATTGTTGCAGGCATTTATTAGTATTCGTCAGCAGACTCAACAGAGCAAACAAGAAATTCAAGCACGAATAATAAAATGAAATGCTGCTATATAACCCTTTGTCATTCAGCAAATATGGGACTTTTTAGCTACATTGTTCCTAAACCTGGGTTACTACTTTAATTTTTCTCCACAGTGCTGACTGAATGAGTATGCATGTGTGTTAAATGCAGAGCTCCCCTAACAACTGCAGGACTGCCATTTAATCTGTTGGTAGATGGACCATTTCCTGTGGGAACCCTAGCTATGATTTCCAGATCCACCAAATAAATCTCAGATTAAGATTCCAAATGAAACCTGCCTTTGGCAGATAAAAAAATGTCAAGATGGATATAAACAGTAAAATTATAAATTATCTAGGTGTTGCATGACAAACCAATGTTCAATTTTTTTTTGTTGACATGTGCCCAGATATCAAAACTATATGAGACATTCATCAAATGTCACACTTTCATAATATTGGAGGCATCATTAAAACTGTTTGACTAAGGACCTCAAAGTGTTTAAGCAGTAGCTCAAAAGTATATTTGTGCAAAGTAGAAGAATAAATTTACATATCAGCAGCAGCTCATAAGGGATGGGTAAATATTCTGTTTATCTCTCATTGTAATTCAGGTTACTTTAAATACAAGGTATTAGGAAATCATTATACTCTATATGGCATCATTACATAACTTTCTATGCAAATGATGTGTGTTTTATTCAAATCTACCATTTGTTTCTCCAGGAAAAAAACAAAACACAAAACCAAAAAACCACAAAAGCATAGAAGGAAAAGGTAGGGGACTCCCATTTCATCAATCAACCATGACTACTATACAAGTGTATTGTTGGTCAGTTATAGTATCATCAGCCCCATATTAGAGTTACCATTTATAACTTTCTTAAAAAGCACTAAATCTGAAGCAAAAACAAGCCTAAGTAAAAAAAAAAAAAAATAATGTTTTCATTTCAAATGACTTGGGGAAAGGGAAGAGACTTAAGGAAAAAAAAAGGTAATAAAAGACCAATATAGAACATCTTAGCAAATAGCCTGTTAAAAATGCAGAGGAAGTCTCTACTGCATTCTCAGGAGATCACGTATTGGCTTTTTAATGAAAATTTTTGTTTTGTCTTTGGTCTTCTTACCTGGACTAATGCAGCCTTGTCCTGGCCTTAAACTCTATACAGATTGACTAAATATGGGCACTGAAGATTTCTAAAAGGAAACAATCAGATTTGCCAAACTGAAATCATTATTTTTTTTAACTCTAAACTCTTAAAAAAGGTTGTGTATAAAGTTTCAGTGACTACAAATATGCAACACTTGACTTTTAACAAAAATTCAAAAATATCTAATCTACTTAAAATAGGAATTCTTTCCAGTTATAAATTCTTTACACTTAATCTGTGGAAAGAATCCAGAATACTCTATACTCCAAATCCCAAATGTTTATACACAAGCCCAAATTTTAAAGATGATGTATTCGTTCTATCTTTCCTATTGTATTTCCCCTAATACATGTTGGTTCGAGAAAACTAATGCTAAATTAAACCCCACCTATTCTAATCTGATTAATATTAATCTGAAAATTTTGAATGGGAGGGAGAAATAAAAAAGACATTAATTAAAGAACGAAATAAAGGTTGTTAATGCTTTATTTTTTCCTTTTCTTTCTTTATTTTTATTTTTTATACTTGTAGCAAGAATTACAATCAAACTCTACTCATTGGATCAGAGACCCCTGTGGTGTTACTGAAAGACTTGCCCCTCTAGTAGCACACTACCTACACTTGCAAGCTCATGGTCAGTCAGAGGCCTCAACTCCAAGCTCTAATAATGTGCATGTACTTAATCTTGATAAATCAAGAAACATTACTATATTTTGGTACATGTCAAATTACCTTAGGTACAGCCAGTGAAACCATTGAAAAAGAGAATTTAATTTTAATTTTAAAAATATTTAATTAGCAAAAACTAATATATTCAGTATCTATTCCACAAGTATAATTTTATCAATATGAACATCATTTTTAACTCTTCACCCACTAGCAGCATCCTGATTTTATTTTTTTTTATTTTTATTTATTTATTTTTTTTAGCATCTTGATTTTAAAGTACCAGAAAGTTTCCGTATGTGAAGACTAGACTTACTCAAAAATTAAAAGTCAAATAGGATTTTTAAAAATAAATACTTTTAATTTACACCTTATCAGTACAATTTCACTCTTTGGCATAAAATTATTGAATCTACCCCAAAGCTCCAGATTAGAATATTTTTAATTCAGTCATTTAGACTATGAATTTCAAAATTTTGTAGCTATTTGTTGTTTGCCTTTTCACATTCTCAAAAAAAAAAAAAAAAAAAAAAAAAAACACAAAGAAAAACTGCATCTGAAACTACTCCCTAAAAGTTAACAATGTCCTACATGTTAGGCTGTTCTGAATTACTTACACACACACACATACAACTCAAAACTAGTGAGGAAATGTAGTCACATCAATGCTACTCTACAAATAGCCAATTAACCTGGACCGACTGTGTAAATGGCTATAATTTCAGTCTATACACCCATGTATATTGATTCAGATCTCCAAAATCAACCAAATGCCAGTACACACTCAGGACTTTATAGTAATCATACTAAAGGTAAAAAAATATAGCCACTATGGAGACCACAATGGCTACCTTAAATATAATTAGCTGATATCCTAATTTCTAAAAAAAATTCAAAATTCAATGTTATATTAAAATTTGTGTTGTACATAGGTGGTCCAGGAAGTGCTCTAGCATGAACGGGCCATAACCAGAAATCGATGAGGATTTTTATCAAAGACCTCAGAATCTTAAGGATGGTGAACATAAAGCAAAAAACTTTTGAAAATTAAAGGTATTTTTTTTCTATTTCAAAAAAAAAATAATGGTTTCCTGGCCACAAATAAATTTGCTAGAGCTTATATATAAAAGTAGAGTTTGATTTCCTTAAATCAAAGAAAAAGTTACAAGCTGTATAAAGAGAGGATCATACCATTAGTACAGAAATAATGGGGGAGAATTAAAACTATTAAGAAAAAAGAAATTTCCCATCTGTTATGCTTATTATTAATAATTATCATTTTTATAAAATAAAGTGCCAAAGGTATATTAAGAACTCCACATGAAGAGTATAGCCTGAACTGATTTAAAATAATTAAAAACAAAAACAGAAGGTAAGACTCCTATTATCTCACAAACTTCACCCCTTATTCAGAATTTATGGGTAGGTTCATTAATTGTAGCAAATGTTCCCCTATAGTGGAGGATGTTGATGGTGGGAAAAGTTGTGTGTGTGTTAAGAAGGTGGCTAAGGAACAGGGGATATAGTGGGAACTCTACACTTTCCTTCACAATTTTGTTGTGAACCTAAAATTTCTCTTCAAAATAAAAACTGTTTAAAAACTGCCAAAAAATAAAGAAAAAAAAATAGAATTTATGGCACAAATTCACAAGTGTGAGTTATTCAAATCAGAAACAATGAATCTCAAAGCATAGCTCATAAACTTTATAACCAGATAGAAAACTTAAGTTGTCCTTGTAAACATTTTTTTACTCCATTTTTTAAACTTAGGCCAACAGTAGTTAATGGAATCATTAATATCATACTTAGAAAAAAAGGTGTGAAGAATCCCATTTAAGTTATTTAAAATAAGATAAACTTACTTTTTTATGAAAGAGAATAACCCCATTCTTTTAAGAGTAGCCTTAGCATTTCCTCTGTAAATGAATCAACCCTTGTTGACCAGCTGCCAGTAGTCCTAAAACCACTCTTCAAATATCCTAGACGGTCATGTGTGAGATGCTACCAGCACCCTATTAAGTTAGGTCATATAGAGATAAATAGTAAATTTAATCAGACCTAGGACATGTTCTTTTTTAACCCTTCTATGGCATATGGAAAATTTAAAAAATGCATTTTTAAATTCACCCTTGCCAAAAGGAAAAGAAAGATAGGCGTGGTGCCACTACTCTGAAGATTTTTATTGCAATTGAGATTTCAATGCAGCCAAAATTAGATTCTACCCTAAATGAATATTATTGATTTTATATTCTCTTCTAACAAATATAAACATACTAAATACAACCTACACTACTTTGAAAAATTTAGTTCCTAATGGTATTGTGAACATTATATTTGAAAAGAATATTTTTATAAAACTAATAGTAACCATTTCAAGTACTGTTGTTTCGGTTTCTTAAAAGTCTTGAAACTTTTTTACAGACCTACCTTTCACAGCTGGGTAGAATAACAATAACCACCACCACCACCAATTATTTAGGTCCTGTAAAATATGTTAACAATCTTTTTTTTTTTTTTTTAAAGCACGTGTAGAAGACCATCACCACCACCACACTAGTGAAAATAATTACTCTCGTATGTGAAATACAGATTATATAAACTCATTTCCTTTTTCAGATGTTGCAGTAGAGCTTTTAAATACACAATCCCTAATCTCCAAAACAGTCCAAAAGGAGTTATCTCCCTATTCTAAACACAAGAAAACTCAGTACAATTACAAAATTTGTGTCCAAGTCCAGGTAGGTAGTAAGTAGAAGATTAAAAAACCTAAAATCCATGTCTATCTAGCTCCAAAACCTGTTTTTTCTATTTTAACATTTTATGAAATTCTTAAGTGCATTGGTTCTCTAGCAAAATTTACTTTCTGCTATGAAACAAAAACATATTGCAATAATTTCTAAGGAAAATATACCATTACTTAATAGAAAGCCAATTATTAAATACAATTCAAGTCCTGTAATTTAACAGGGAATGATTAAGTATCTAGATTTCAAAACACTGAATGTCAAGCAGTGTCTAATCATAATGCCTAGGAATCTTTTTTCCTACCAGCTATCTTGCTGGTAGAAATAGATGGCCATTCTATGCAACTCACCATTTCCTTTTTCTCTGCCTTAAAAAGAAAGTTTATGAAAATGATATGAAATTCTACAAGTATATTTTAGTTACAATGATCAGACATTTAAAAGCATGCTAGATGTTTCTCTGTAGTATTTTTAAAGATGTCTCACCTTAAAAAATGCTCGCAAATCATGCAATAGTTTGGGATATAATTCAATTACAGAACAACAGATGGACAAAAGGTAAAAATAATACATACTTTGTGAAAAGACAGAAAGACAGATGAACCAATAATAAAAGAGGCTGATGGTGGCACACAGCTTCCAAATGCCAAACAAAAATAAACAGTATTCTGACTCAACAAGAAACTAACAAATCACTGACAAGTTACCTTTTGCTGGGTTTTAGTTATTTATTTTGCTCCATAGAAAAACGGTAAGAATCATGCTTACAAAAGATAATTGTTAGTTTAATTCTAAAGTAAAGAGGACAGTTGCTTTTTACTTAAATTCAGCAATTTAAGATTTTTAAAATATTTGCTAGCCTCCAGTAAATGACAGTATGAAAAGACCTGAAGCAGTTCTAGCAGTGGTTTTTCATCTTGAGTTTCAAATGAATACAGTGATTCAAAATCATGTTTGCTTTCTAAGTTTAAAAGTAAATAGTTTAAAAACACAGGATTCGTATAGAAATTGAGATAATATATGTAAGTGAAAATAACTTCTCTAGTATAAAATACATATTAAATATAATTCCCTAAAATAGTAAACCTAAAAATCATATTGAAGAAACTTGCAAAATTCATAGGTTTTTGTCTGAAGCTTCCTCAAGCTGTATGATTCTTACCATTTTTTGGCTTCAATTTTGAGGTAAGAAATATTATAAATACAGTAGACTTAATATTTAATTTGGGTAGGCACAGTAACCTTTTTTAACCTATCTTAGGGAACACTGACCCCTAAAGGTTCTAAATTTAAATAAGTTTCACAATATTCTAAATTTAAATGGCATCTGGACACCATTTTTCCCTATATTATTGTAGATACATACACTTATGGCAGATATGCTTATTTATAAATATATAAGCTATTTTCAGTCGACTGTTGAGCACTATAAACAACTGAACCACATTTCTGCCAATTTAATAAAAACCACCAAAATTTAATAAGAAATATCCAGAAAATTATCATACTATTCCAAAAAATTACAACAGACTTCCAACCCTCGTGCCTTTTTCTTACATAGTTAAGTAAATAATAAGTAAATGTTTAAAAGAGCGGGGCAACCAATCACATAACAACTTACTCTGGGGGGCTAACTTTACATGCATCCTTGATTATAACACTTCATTTTTTTTCTGAAAAAGCAGAAACAACAACAAAAAAAGAACCCTGACAAAGTTTTCACAAAAGGGAAAACATCATTTACTTCTTAAGAAACTAGAAGATATTACCAATGCTTACTTGGCACACATGTTGATTCACTTCCCAACAACACAACTTTAAATTTCAGACATTTAGAGTAAAAACAACTCTTCAAGAAACCTGGACAAGTTTTGTAGATGCCTTCATCCATCCTACCTACCAACCACAGCTTTACATTTTCTAAACTGTCAATAATGACAAAAAACAAAAAAAGTAAATTGTTCTGTTGACATTATATACCTCATCAACTCAGACTTCAAATATCTCAGCAATGTTTCTACACTAAAGTTAGATAAAGAAGAGCCATTTTACAACCCTTATAATAAGATTTGTAAGACATGCCACAAAGACATGTCTATGTAACATAAGTTTTTAGTGCTCTATTTCTTAAAAAAAAAAAAAAAGTAAATATGAAGTAAAATAATTGATTATCCAAGCAGGCTATGAACACTAGTATAAGACAGAGCTTTGAAGTAATCTGTGCTTTACAATAAATCCTGTGAACCCTGATGTCAAGGCAATGACCATGTGAGATTTTAAATGTATCAATTATCATAAAACTCAAAGGATATTACATATACCTATTTAATTTTATGCCTTAATAATGTTTCATTAACAAGCCCTTTATATAAAGGAATGTCCTATTCCTACTTCTGATGTAAAAAAAAAAAAAAAAGCCTGAAAAATGCAAATTTTCTTAATGATGTTTCAGTCACGTCTATTGTGGTCTGTGCTTTCTGCAAACTATTTATGCATCTATGTCTTCAACCCTAAAGCCTTCTTTTCTCTAAGTGTCCAAGAGCTTCAGCAGCTCCCTTCCTTAACTTCTTTCCTGGTTATTCTATACTTATGAGAAGTATTTCCTCCACAGCCTGTTGCTTTAGATATATTAAAAATAATTCCTTTGGTTCCATAGAGATCCTCTGTCTATAATTTGAACAACATGATTTCCTCAGCAATGTGACCTCTGAATAGGGAACATAAATAACAGGGGCATCATTATTTACTTCCTCTTTTCTTATTATTGCACATAAATGGAATAAAAACTGCCTTGAGCTCTTGGAAAGAAGAATGTTTCTTGTTTATTTGCATAAATGAATAAAAACAGCTACAACAAATTAGTTCCCAGCTTCACACCAGTACAAACTTGAATAGAAAGCAGACTGAAATTGTCACAAAGCCCATTCACTAAAAATATAAACTTTGAATTAAATGCCTCTACCTTATTCAGATATAACCTGCTATTACTTTGTACACAATTCAGTTACTTGGATTCTAAACTCCTAACAAGCAGCTTAGAATCACAAATTAGAAGAGAAAGCTTGCTAATGGCGACAAATTTATAATAAGACAGAAATAAAAAACAAATGCAGAAAGCACAGCACCTTTCTATAATTCAAAAGAATGTAGAACTATTATTTAATAAAATGATAACAGAATAGTACCCCAAAATGGCCTTTAACCTTCTGAAAAAGGTAACTGTGTGGTTGATATATAGGGAAGAAGAACCCTAGTGGGGAAGGGAGAATCAAAAAAGGAAATGTGTGCAATGTTTTGGTAACAGTCTAATTTTTTAAACATAAAATTTAGAGGAAATAAAAACAATGTACACAGAGATTTAAGCCTTCAACTATATGCAACACTATATTCAGAATGGTTAGTTTCCTAGGGATTCCAGATTTGCAAAATTTTATCTTAAGAGACCTCAATTTAAAAAACTTAACATTTTGGCAGCCCCCGTGGCGCAGTGGTTTAGCGCCGCCTGCAGCCCGGGGGATGATCCTGGAGACCCGAGATCAAGTCCCACATCGGGCTCCCTGCATGGAGCCTGCTTCTCCCTCTGCCTGTGTCTCTGCCTCTCTCTTCACTCTCTCTGAATGAATAAATAAATAAATCTTAAAAAAAAAAAAACCACACTTAACATTTTTTAAACCCCTCTCTTTATGGCTCCCTGATATCTTACTCAACAGTGCCCTGCATGCCTGCCCTATTTACCTGCCCTATTTACCTGTGTGTGTGTGTGTGTGTGTGTGTGTGTGTGTGTGTGTGTATGGATATGTATCTATCCATCCATCTACCCATCCTCTTTTTTTTTTTCAGGCCATCTCTCGGTCTTGTTATCTTTTAGACTACGTTTCCATCTCTGGCTATTCTCTCCCTTTGCCTATGCATTTTGTTCTGTCTCTCTCTGGTAGGGTCTCTTTCCGTCTCCCTCTGCATATCTGTCTGTGGCTCCACTTCAGGCCCCCTCTGGCTTCATCTCTCTGTGGGTGTCTCTTCCTGAGTGCATGTTTTGCTGTGCACCTGTCTCCACCTCTATCTCTGTATCCGAATGTATCTTGGTCTGTTTCTCTGTGTCATCTGTCTGTCTGTCTATCTCTGTATATCTTCTATTTTCCTTCACTGTTTGTCTCTTTTCCTGGGTGTGTGTGTATGTTTTCCCCTGTCTCTGTCTCTTTCTCACTGGGTTTCTCTTCCTCTGGTATCTTCCTGTGTGTATCCACATGTGTGTGTCTTTCTCTCTGTGTGTGCTTCCACATGTGTGTCTGTGCCTCCCTCTTTGACTCTAATATCTCCCTTCTACGTCTGTGTCTCTTTGTGCTTCTTTCTCTGCAATGTGGCTCTCCCTATGCACCTCTCTCCCAGTCATTCTCTCAATCTCCCGTCTCAATCACTTTGTTTATATGTTTCTTTCTCTCTCCCTGTGTATGTTTCTTTCTCTCTCAGCATCTCTTCCTCTGTATCTTTCTTTGTGTCTCTTTTGCAGTATGTGGGTCTCTTTGTGTGTGCTTCCTTCTTTGTATGTGTGCATGTGCGCTTGTCTGCCTCCATCTAATATACTGCTTAGAACAAACACACTGCATTCAGTGCCTTGAACTAGCACCACACCTGGGGTTTGGTATTAATACCTTAAAAGTCCTTACCTTTTGACCAGTCCTCCATTTGTACTTCTGTTCTTGTTTGCTCTGGCAATGTCTCTGGTTTTTACTCCAAGATTTGAAGCTAAAATAAAGCCAACTCTAGATAAATAAACTTAAAACAATATATCAGAACACACCTAAACCTTACCTTTGTTTAACAGAGAATTTACAGGATAAATGGTTTTCTAAAACATTTATAATGGGACTATTAACTGTATATTTCAACAGATCAAATTGAATCTTTTTTCTCAGAAAAAGGTTCTTTCTTTCACACTTCTATTTTAGTAAATACAGCTCAGGTTAAGCTTCCAGATATTCTTGCTCCTTTGGTTAAAGAGTCATTCAATTTATTTAAATCTTTTTGAACTCTAACAATTTAAGAAAAATAAAACTTATATCCTATACGTCATAAACTTTATATCAAAAATTTCAAATTTATTGATTTGAATTTACAATGTATATTTTCATATAAAATATTTTATACTTGTAGAAGTCAATAAAATACTATTTGAATTTTTTAAAAAAACAGAAAGACTATTATTAACTTATGGAATTATTGATATTTGTCTTGCATTTGTTTTCATAATAAACATGACAAAAGCTACACAAGGTTTGTTGTGGGGTTTTTTTTTGGCATGCTTTTTAAGGAGAATAAAATTTGATTTACCTCACAGCTAGAACTCTGTGTTCTTTTAAAAAGTCCTCAAATAAAGCTGTAGTAAGCTTCTCCTTTTCCAATTTTCTTTAAATATGTTGATCTGGAGTTGGCAATCTTTTTCTAAGTTCCTCATTTACTTTTGGATTAGCTGAAAATATAGGAAGTTATTAATATCAAAGAAATATGTCCCAGTCAATGAAGCCATTTCCCTACATATTGCCCAAAAAGGTTAATAATAATTGCAGTCTTTTAATAAGAGATTCATATAGCAAGACATGTAGAAAATACAGTCTTTAATAACCTCTGGAGTATTTTAAAACATGTCTTACAGGCCTTAATGTGCTTAGTAATATACTATTTAAAACCATAATTTTATCCCTCTGCAATATACAGTCACTCTTCCTCATCATTTACCCAGCTAATGAATGCCAGCAATTAGTAAAATGTAATCCCATTGCACAATCATTTTAATGCTTTTAGCACTCAGAAAAGTAAACACCAAATTAATACTGCTCAAGCCATATCAGATCCTAGTTGGAAGCAAGCAATTATAGTTCAGCTCCTCAGGTGTAATTAAATGATTGAAATGATTTAGTTCCATAAATGCAAGTTAATTCATAAGCAAGCAACAAATATACTGGGAGTAATTACAAGAAACATTGACAGTCTAAGCAGGGCTAATGCTTTTATGAGGCTGATATAGTAAAATGCTGCCCTCTCCTGGGCATGTAAGTGAATATCTCAGAGCCAAATACAAAACAAAAACCACCTCTCCAAAACCTAACTTTTAAAAAGCTACAAGAAAAATAATAACAACCAATATATCAATTTGATTTCATTCCTTATACAAAAAAATTAACATGTAGTTTATACTGTGATCATTTCTACACACCCTGGTTATTAATGCTTTTTCTAGCCAAACTCTGAATAGGAGTCCCAAAACATACCAGGCAATTTCTATTATGTCTAATGAAACAAAATGATTTCATACAGAACACTGACAGACTGCAAATGAAGCTTCTAGTACCGGTCTAGACTACCAGGCCAATGCCTATATCCTCTCATTGGTAAACCCTAAGTGGACCATTATAGATAATAACTAAACAAGCTTTGAATAAGTCTAAAATTTTCAAGAATAATAATCTCTGAAAAATATAAAATACTGTTATTATAGCTATGCATAATGGTCTAAAATTAATTTTTAGTGAACTTTAATAATGAAAAACTAGAGTGCTGGTGTAATATCATTATAAGCACATTTGAAAACAAAGAGTAACAGGTGGTACATAAAATAAAATGCATTCTGGTTTTACTTAACACCATTCCCAATTTTTTTACTTCTTCAGGCTAAAATTCAGAACAAAGTGACTTGTATACCACTCAGATGGTTCTTAACTAACTACTCATGCTAAACTTTAAGAAGCTTTTTTATTATACATTTAAGTTATGCTACAATCAATAAATGTATTAACACATATGTATTTGAATCACTAAACCCAATCAGAATCATTCCTTTGTCTATAAAATTGAATATAGTCTCAAATATTAGCAACATTAAACAAATGCTTAATTCTCCAATAAATGCAAATAATACCTGAAGAGGATAATGTTTAACATTACCAATATTTTTGTGGAGGGGGGGAAACATTATTGTTCTTCTGATACGCCTTTGAATGTGTTAAAATAACGATGTTTTAAGTCATATCTTACCTAAACTATAAAAATAAAATAAACCAAAATATTAAAAAGTCCTGCCACTAAGTTTAAAATGTACAGCACATTTGCTTTGCCCTTGATGTCACAGTCTTATTTTTCAATTCATATCTTGTACACTGTAAGTTAATTGCTTTTGGAAAGTACTTATTATTCATGTAAAAATTAATGTGCCAATGTGTTCAAATCCTCTTAAATGACCATTCATGCATCTTTCTTCTTTAAGTACCAATGAAATCTGTCAAAAGACATCAATGCAAAATGGTCTTAAAGAAAGTTCTAATAGAGATTTTTTTTCTGCTAACACAAGATTTTCATATTCACCAACTTTACTTAAATTCCATTAATTTTTTAAGCTACTTTTAATAAATTCACCAAGTAAAATTTTTAGGCCCCATAGTCTGTCATTTGTGTTCCAGCTGACATTATGAATATTAATAACAGTGTTATCCTGATTAAATAGGCTTCATATGAAATCCCTGTGAATCCTATAGCTCAGACATCTCATTTTTCCAACTCTTTATGAATTTGGATTCAGACATTAAACTGGAAAAATCTTAAAAAACAGATTTAATGGCACATTTGCATATTGGCAAGCAAAAATTAGATGTTCTAATGATTCAAATAATTACAACTTATATATCTATATATTGTAAAAGGAATAGAAGACTTCTGTAAACATGCAATATGTTTTATACTTCTATTCATTTTAGGATAAAAGATAAGACTAATAAAATACTAACTCCTTTCCTTAACTTAAAGATTTGGTATCAAGAACTTGTTTCAATTAAAAATTATATATTCATGTTAAGACTAGCTGGATGGTTTTACAGCAGACATCTGATAGTCTCCTTAATCAAAATACTATCTTATTATACCACAGTCAAAATATAATTGCTTTATTATTACTAATGTATACCAGGTAACAAAATAAAATCAATTTCCAACTAAAGTTTGTTTATAAGTTGTGCTAGAATAAATTACCTAGGTTAAAAAAAAAACAAAAACAAAAAAAAACTTTGATAGAACATACCACATCAGCATCTGTTAAATTAAGACCTTCTCCATCACAGATTCCTAACCTCATTGCTTCAAGTTGTTTTTAAACTTCAAAGGAAGTGGTCTTATTATGTAGAAAAAAGGAAAAATAAATAATAATTAAGGAAACTGGATACCCTTTTCTCTCTCTAGCTACGTGGGATTCTGAATGTATCCACCAAAATTTCCTATCTTCACCCTATCAAAAAAATTAAGATGGAAAAAATTTAAACAAACAGCTCTATGATCTCAAATGTGACTTGACTCTTTATTTACTCAGCAGTAAAACACCTCATGAAACAAAATTTGTTCTTTGACTAGTCTAAAATTTCTAATCTACCTAAAAATTATAAGTGATTCTCACATTTCTCCTTTAAAATTAAAACAATGCCTTTTTGATAGTAAAGCATTTTATTTAAAAACAGGGTTCATCCTTGTAACAATACCCAGGATTTGTAAAAACTTATTTTAAATAAGAAATGCCTTTCCTACCTTCTTCCACAAAAGCCTTATTATAAGCAAAGGTTTTTTGACTGACTTTGTTTTGGTTAATGGCATTTTTTTTCATAATACATCTTTAATCACAAATTTTATAAATTGAATCCAACGATGTCAAACTCGGAATCATTTGTAATATGGCTTCATATCCAACCATAACTAAGAACCTCCAAATTTTCTATTTCCTAGTTGAAAAAGTTGAGATAATTTCTGCATTGAAATGATTTAATTAAAAGACAAAAGGAGAGCACTGTATTTCTGAGAGCCCGATATTTTATCACGTAACTCATCATACACAATATATGCATATGTTCCACTACTGGATTTTCATCTTATTAGACAAAAGTCTCCCAAACATTCACAGTTCCCAGCACATTCTCTTCCAAATAGAATTCCTTGCCCTCACTGTGCCTGTCACAGCCCATTCCTTACTCAGCTCTAGACAACCCAAGTTCTTCAGAGCCAGGGAGAGCAAGGAGAGGTTTAGGGAGAAAGGATAAGGAATAAAAGAGGTTCCACTCCATAGCTATTAAAATTTAAAATCCATATACTATTTGACCCCTCAGTTTTACTATTAAAAATATTTAGAAAAATATGTAAAATAAATTTTTATGTACAAAGACACTCACTGAGGCAGTATTTGTTAATAAGGTCTTGTTATACTGAATTTCTTTGTTTCTTGAATTTACCAAGCTTATTCTTGCCTCAGAGCTTTTATACTTACTAGTTTCTCTGCCTAGAATTCTCTTCTCCAGCTCTCTACACTATTGTTCTCATTATTTAGTCTGGCTGGCTGTCTTTCTTTCCTGCTTTTGCCTGGTCATTCTACCTAAAGTAAAAACTCTTTTCCCAATCATAGTTTCATGAAGGCAGTAATATAGATAATAAGTTGTTTAGGTTTTATTTCATTGTGTTTGATATATCTCAACCAACTACATATATTTAAGCTAATGCAAGCAGAGCCCTGGATTTTCTCCTTCATCTGCATTCTTAGAAGCTATTTGGCATACAGTGTGAGTACTCAGTATATATTTGATGGACAGACAGGTAGATGGATGGATGGATGGATCAGTGACTAGGAGAAAAACAGACCTAATGTAAATGATCCTCAACAGAAAACTGGTAAAATAAAATGTGGTATAATCATAAAACAAACCTATATGGTTTGTATCATACAAATGCACGCATGTACTGTGTGGAAGATTCTTTCAATAAGCATTTATTAAGCACTTGTATATTATGTGTCAGATACTATCCTAGGAGATAGATATAAAATGATGAATAAGACAAATTTCCTACCCAAAATACATCTTTAGCCAAAACAATGCAGGCACAAAGCATAAATACAGCAAAAATAGAGAAAAATGTAAAATTATATTTACATATGCATACATGCTTGAATAGGTGTAACAAAGAATACACAGGCAATTATAACTATTGAAGAAAGGACATAAGAGTTGAGGTGGGGAGACAGGAATGAGAGAAGGAAGTATTTTTAGTTCATTTTATATCTATCTGTATAATTTGATTTTTTAAACATGTACATGTATTATTTTTAACTTAATAGTTAAATATTAATTAATAACCTTTGAATTGAATAGGAAACTTTGAAATTATTTGTAACTATTATACCTGAGAGATCTAAAGTGAATAAAAAGGACATAATCTTTGTGACTCCTTTGAAACTTGAAAAAATTGTTATTACCTAATTAATCTTTTATAATTATATTTTATTATGGTTGTTTACTTGCTTGCTTGGTTTGAGTAGAGTAAAAAGTTAAAATTAAACTACTAGATAATAGGAATTTTTTGGAAAAGCTTAAAATGAGTTTCCTAAGAGGTATGCAAATATTTCTTAAAACAACCACATTTCTTTGTTCAGTCAGGGACTATTTATAA